TTTTTTTTTTTTTTTTTTTTTATATATTTATATATATATATATATATATATATATATATATATATATATATATATATATATATATATATATATATATATATATATATATATATATATATATATATATATATATATATATATATATAGTGTTAAACTATATTATTATAGTTGTAGTATATTATATCCTTAATATAGTAATTTCCAATGTTAGAAAAAAACATGCTTAAAAAAGATATCAGCATATTCTGTGTTTTTAACTTAGTGTTATAGTTTTTTTAATGTAAAATATATTTCCCTCCTGCATAGAAATAAATGTTTAAACTAGTGCATCTCAATTAGTTCTCTAGTTCAGTAGTCAGGACCTGGCCAAGGAAGTTGACATTTTAAGGGCTGATTTGTGAAGTCCCACAGTGCTCCTTAAATGAAAGTTCTGAAGAGTAAAAACTAAATCACATCTCACCAAACATACTGTGATAACACTCGTGGCACTCAATAGGCATTATGATTACAAAAATTGACATATCTTTTTTATATCCATATTTTAATGGGTTAAATATGTGAATGCCAGGCATAACTGTAACAAAACTTATGTGTTTTAAAAACAAAACGCACTAGTGTAAACTAGTGTAATGAGCCCCTGGACATTATCACGTCACCATCAGTGTCACAACGATTAGTGAGCCAGGGTTCTTACTTTCCTCACCAGAGCCAGAATTATTGTACACATAAAAAGTGGCAAAGAGATGAAAGAGTGTGTTTTATACAGGTGGGTTGTAAAGGCCACTCACCTGTATGAGAGACACTGGGTTGGTGTGTGGTGAGGGGAGTAGGAGAAGATGGGATCCTGGTTTTATTCACAGGGGTTCAGGTGATTTCAGAAGAGATTGATTTTTAGTTGTCCCTTAAGGGTTCACAAGTGAATCAGCATTCCGTGTAGGAAGGGGAAGATTAATCCACCAGCACATAACATTGAATGAAAAGTAGCACTAGAAGTAATAGTTTATTTATTTGTATATGTATTATTGATATGTATCTTTAATTGATTTGCTTAAACGTGTTTTCATGCAGTTGCCTGTGACAATGAGTGAATCTTCAGTGATGCGCAAGGCTGTCGCCCAGGCCCAATCTACAGCTAGCGGCCACACGCAGATGACATCACGGCAGCCATACACCACAGACACAACTGCCTCCAAACGTGTGTGTTTTTATAAAAGCGGTGATGCCCAGTTCAGCGGTTTGCCTGTGGTTATCAACAGCCGCACCTTTAAAACATTTGAGGCTCTGTTGGACAGCCTGTCGAAGCGTGTGCCGCTGCCGTTTGGTGTGCGCGCACCATTACGACTCCTCGTGGTCATACCACAGTTCGCTCCCTTGATCAGTTACATCACGGTCAGTCGTACATTTGCTCTGACCGTCGAACTGTCAAACCCATTGACCTGGAACGAGCACGTCGGAAACTGCCTCCCTGGTATCACGCTCGTCCTGTTAGTGCCCGGTATTTTGCCTGGTACACACACAACCCTGCTCAACATGGTACCCGCACAGCAAAGCGGAATGAGCATGCCGTGTTGTTGCATACACCAAAGTGGCTCATACTCTTCCGTAATGGAGAGCCAGAAGTGAAGCACAGACTGATGCTGCAGAGGAGAACAACATACTCCTTTGATGCACTATTAGATCACATCTCAGATGTTATGCACTTCCCTGTGCTTAAATTATACACACCAGAAGGAAGAAGGGTAAGGGTGTATTCAATTAACTACTCCTTTCAAGTCAAATACCTTTTTTAATAATAATAATAATAACTATTACTGATTCCTGTAAGTATTTTAGTTTTATTTTATTGTAGTTATTTCAGTATGTTATGGCATGTCTATATGCCTACCATCACAGTAAAGAGGTGTTCCACTACGATATCATATTTTAAACTTTAGTTATTGTGTAATGTAGTTGTGTGAACATAAGCAACATCTCTAAATGTAATATGCTCAAAGTTCAATGCAAAGGGAGACATTGGATTTTACAGAGTTAGCTTAGCAAAGCCTACAGTGAACGAAGTTTGAGGACTACAAAAAATGCATCGAGATTAATGAGATCGTAAATGTTTCAGGTTACGAGCATACAACACACGCATACACCCTGCACAGCGTGTAATGTTAAAGCAGAGAAAGCTAAAATGGGGTCCAAACACTGCTATTTCCACAGAGCTTCTTCTGTTTCTGTATTTGGGCATCCAAAGGACACGACACCAAGAGAGAAGTGTTCACAATTGAATTATGCTACAGAGAATTATAATAAAGATATAACTCTAGCATTTAACAAAGCAGAGCTTACAGAATCTCTCCCAGTTCAGTGCTGGATTCGGCTAAAAACTCCTCAAAGAAGGAGCAGCTTCAACCATAATACAATAAGCTGTGGATTGTGAGCCACAACTAGTCAATATTTTTATTTGTTAAAATAAATCAATTACATGCAAAGTTTCCAGCATTAACGGTATGTTGTAGCAAGGACATAAACAAGGGGAAATGCTCTTTGGCATAGTTAACAATTTATCTAAAAATTCATATTTATCCATCAAACTGCTGTAAACAGCCACAGTCTTCACCAGTGCAGCAGTGTCTCTCTATGCAGTCACTTTCCATGCAAATATCAATTGTCAAATAACTCACTTGAACAGATTTGTAAATGTTTCATATTACTTACACATGCTTTTTCAGAATATATGTAAAAGACACTTGTCAGATGTTATTTTAGAGAGCAGGCGTTAGGTTCAGCTGTGACCTCTTAATTTTCTGTCTGATTCAAGCTCAAATAATTACGGTGTAATGGTGGCAATGTACAAAATCATTATTTTCTTGTAAACAACGAAGAAAAATAAAATAAAGAATTAAAAAAAGGCAGGGTCTCTTTGTGTCGGAGCCCTGCGACGTACCCACTCGACCATGTGACTCAAAGAAAAAAAAATCTTTCCCACTGAAGTCTTGCCATACACCATTTGAATGATGCTTTTCCTGGAACTCGATCCGCGAATCACAGCACATTATGTTAGCCAATCAGAGCCTCTTGAGAGCGGGTCTTTTAGAGGAACTAGGAAATATGACATTCGCTTTCATGTTAGCTAAGTAGCAGTATATAATCAAAATTTTTTGCAAATCCAGTAAGAGCATACATAGCATCTCATAAACACAACCCAGCCTTAAAAACACACTCTGGACCACACGTTTAAAGGATTGGTTCCCACACAAAAACATTTTATCTGGTATGAATGACTCAACCTCATGTCATTCCAATACCCGGAAACTTTCTTTCACCTCCAGAACACAATTTAAGATATTGAAGTGAAATCTGAGAGCTCTCTCATCCTCCATATACAGTAATAGTTCTGAGATAAGTTAGAAGATTAGTCTAGAAAAGGAAACAAAATGTCAGAACATTTCATGTGACTTCAGTGGTTCAACTTTATTCATTCATTCATTCATTTTCTTTTCGGCTTAGTCTCTTTATTAATTCAAGGTTGCCACAATCAAACATCCATACACATTCATAAACTACGGACAATTTAGCCTGTATGCAATTTACCTGTACCACATGTATTTTGACTGTGGGGGAAACCAGAGCACCCGGAGAAATCCCACGTGAATGCAGGAAGAACATGCAAACTACACACAGAAACGCCAACTGACCCAGCCGAGGCTCAAACCAGCAACCTTCTTGCTGTGAGGCGACAGCACTACCTACTGCGCCACTGCATCACTGTGGTTCAACTTTAGAGTTATAATTGCAATCATATGAAGCTCAAAAAACATGTTCGTCCAATTAAAAATGATAAATAATGACTTTGAGTTTGTTTATGTCCTCTCTTCAGCTACGACAGGTCGCAGTGCATGTTTACATGTGTGATATAAAGCTTGTATGTTGTGCTACTGACTCTAACAGCAATACATTGTACTGCCTGTAGTAAATGCACATTCTGACAAGCTGATAAGAAAGAGTAAACATTTATGAACAAAGTCATTTTTAAGAGTTTTTGGAGCTTTGTACGATTACAGTTGTAATGATGAAGTCACATGGACATGGATTTTTTGACATGGAAGATTAAAGAGCTCTTTGATTTATTCTAAAATATCTTAATTTGTGCTCTGAAGATAAACAAATGTCTCAGGGGATTGGGACAACGAGAATGAGTAATTAATAACAAAATTTTAATTTTTGGCTAAATTTGTAGCCTTCAAACAGAACTCATTTGCTCTAGAAAATATCATCAATCAGCTTTTTTCATTTTGAGCTGTTTTTTGCACTGTAATATGTTCATGCTTTTAAATATTATTTACAGTTACAGTCAGAATTATTTACGCCCCCTATGAATTTTCTTTTTTTTTTTTTTTTAATATTTCCCACATGATGTTTAACAGAACAAGGAATTTCTTACAGTATGTCTGATAATATATTTTCTTCTGGAGAAAGTCTTATTTGTCTTATCTTAGCTAGGATAAAAGCAGTTTTAAATTTTTGAAAAGCCATTTTAAGGACAAAATTATTAGCCCCCTCTAGCATATATATATATTGATAGTCTACAGAACAAACCATCATTAAACAATAACAATATATGTATATTTTTTAATATATTATGAGGATATTATGAGAATACATATATTTACATAAAAATTGTCTGTTGCCTACCTGTTTTATTAAGCCCCTTTCTCAGAAATGGCAATGGGCTCAGACTGGTTACGTAGCAAACCAATTGGTATTAACTGCTAAATGCATGTGGTCTGTAAATATCCATGCTCAAACAGTGACATTACACATAAGTTAAAAGTTCCTATTGAATTTATAATCAAAAAGCAAACAAATTAGACAAACAAAGCTACAAAGATAAGCTTTCAGCGGCCAGCTTCACATCGAAAAATTAACAAAAGTAAACAGTGACCGAGTGTTTATTTGATTAGAGTGGTGACCATGTCAGTTGCGTGTTGAGTGTAAGCAACCTGACCCAGTGTTTGAGTTAGCATAAATAGCATTTACAGATTGAGGAAGAACTGCTGCCCAGTGACACTAATCCTCTTTACCTATTTGATCCTATTATACTCCCCAGCAACCTGGGATATAATATAGTGAGGGGAGACAAGACATGCCATTTAGATCCCCCAAGCCACTTTATCAATAAAGTTATCATTAGGTTTTTTAGAATATTCCAATATGTGGTTGTTATTAAACATCCTATCTAGTAAATTAATTATGCTCCTCTAGCACAGAGCCATATAGCTGTACTTTTTATATAAATCCTATAATTTCAAACTACATTCAAATGAATATATATCAGTGAATCTATGTGAATTTATATACAGATTGCAATGTTAAATTTGTTTTTATCAAAATAAGAGATTGTTGGTTAAGCTGTATGTAATCCTGGTTGCCTGAGTAGAGAAGGAGGCGCAGTGTCTGCAGTTGAGATTACAAAGTTTTCCAGGTTTGATGATTGCCTGAAGCCAGTATGACGCCAATTCAATGGCTAATGATGTTTAACACTTCCTACAGACCAAAAAATAATTTAAAATGCTGCGTTGTTTTAACACAACTTTTGGTAAAATGTGGAAAGGCTTAACCATTGGGTTTTAAAAAATTGTTTTTAAAAATATAACAGTTGTTAGGTTTGTCCAAATCTTAACAAAACGTGTTGAAACGACCCAGAATTTTGAAGTTTGGCATGGTCAGATATACAGTGTAGCTGCCACCTGTACTGTAACAAGCTGATAAGTGCAAAAACTAATCCTGATCAAATTCAAGGAGGAGCTTTAGTCCTCTAGAATCTAGGGGTTTGTTCTTCTTATGTGGATTATTCATGATTTGATTGTTGATGATTTGACATGATCCAGGATAGTTTCAGTCTTAAAAACCTATCCAGGAATTGTTGTCATAGCAACAGGTCTGTAAGCTCAAACCTGCTCAGCAGCAGTTTATCTCATATAAACAGGATTAGATTGTGTCATTTTAAGCAAGGTGATACTGAAAATATGTACCAACTGCTGATATTTTCTTACAAGAGTACTGTATTAAGCTGGGGAAAATAACTATATTCTAATTTTTTTAATTTTTTTTTTTATTAAAAATGTTGTGAAGTTTAGTTTTAAACTAATTTCGAGAGAAGCATGTGCTCATGATTTACCCAGCTGGTCCACATTAACTAATTATGATCCTCCAATCAAAGGATCCCAAACCACTATATATATCCTCATTTCCTTTCTACAACTATCTTCGTCTGGAAGAAACCCCCCCTCCTCCCCTTCTTCCTCCTTTATCCAGAATGGGCGGCACGGTGGCCCAGTGACTAGCACTGTTGCCTCACAGCAAGAATACCAATGGTGTTGGGTCCTCGCTGAGCCATCTGGTATTTCTGTGTGGAGTTTGCATGTTCTCCCCGTGTCCGCGTGGGTTTCCCCCGGGATCCCCGGTTTCCTCCCACCATCCAAATGTGCTCTATATTATAGATAAAACAAGCCTAAACCTTTTTTATAATGTCTTACTCTCAGGAAGTTCGCCTTGGCCTCAGCAGCGGGGGAGTTTGAGATAGACCTGAGCTCAATCTCCACTCGCCCTGCAAAAGGGGGGGAGCCCTGGGCTCGAGGATCCCTTGAGCTCAGGGCTCTCTCCCGGGACAGCATGCCAAACAAGCTATGTATAAATCATGAGCTAAGTGTGAACTCTTGAAATATTAGTTACTTTAAAAATGGTAACAGGGCTGTATCTTTTCAATGAGTTTTGTATTTTTAGTGATTAATAAATACATTTTAGATACTAAGATACTTTTAAGGTACCAATATTAATTTTTAAATACAAACGCAAACTTTGAAAAGGTACCATCCCAGTTTTTGTACTTCTATTTTTAGATGATAATCTAAAAAGCATGATAATAGACATGGCCAATAATCTCACAGTATGTATTTGTTTATTATTTGTGATGGAGTAATTATAAAGTGTACTGTCATTACAAAAAAAATTGAGTCATGCACATGAAGCCTTGACAAATAATGTCAAAATCATTTTTTGAGGGTAAACAAATTTAAACAGTCAGTTATGCCTTAGTGTTAGGGCTAGTTTAGGAAACTTTAATAGTGTCACACAGAAAATTTAAACTAAGGGTAAAGCAAAATAAATAATTTAAAGCCTGTAAAAATAGCCTGCAACAAATATGAAAAGTTACTGCATATGGTTTCACAATTATTGTCCATTTACCGCAAACTTGATATCCTTTTCTCACATCTGATCAGATGATTTTGCTGCTGTCTTGACACCTGCCGATCACTGCTTTGATGCATGATTTCGAGGGCCAATAGGTCTGTTCTTAAAAACCATTACCACACACAGCAACCTTATCCAAATATTTTAATCTGATTAACAAAATTTTTGAAGAACAGAAGATACGTTATTGACATTAAAATATCCAGGATCTGCCAAATCATCTTAGATCTTTAGATGACTTACAATGAAAAGTTCAATAAAAAAAATACTATGTCATGCCTGGCAATAAAGCAATGTCTGTCAATGAGTAATATTTGGCTAATGGCAAAGGGAAAGTCATGCTCTTTGCAGAATAGGCCTTGACAGGATGAGTGATGTCAATTGAACACTTCATGGGTGCCCCCAACCTCCTGAAAAGGTCCAATAACACAACAGCTATAAATGGTTACTTTACAAAAAGAACAATTGGTAAATATATGTATTTCTTTCTTCTATTTTGACAGATTTTCCCAGTATTTATTACTTAGACAGAAACAAGAAAATATCCACTGTCATTCCCATCAACAAGGGCTTGTTGAGTCACTGAGGCATCGAGTCATGTCACAACTTATGGCATCATGATTTTGATTTAAATTCCAGAAGATAAAAAAAATAGTGCAAAAGCACCAAGTTTTTACCTAACTTCATTTTAAATTTTTTTCTTATAGTTTTGATGGAAACAGTACACTCTAAATCAGTTGGGACAGAAGCAAAATCAAAGTGAACAGGTTATATAACCAAATTAAATAGGAAAATGTCTGTCATGAAGATGCAGCAGAGCAAATGGCATCTGAGACTGCAAAGACACCTTTAACAGTGATGCAGATCTTTGTGGTACTGGGACATATATTAAATGCAAGCATCTCCATCCCCCTTCAAAATGTGCAAATAAAAAATGGCTAATGGAAATATGACCATTGCACAAAAACTTTGATTTTTACATATTCACATGAGATGTTTTTGAGACATTTTAAATTAAAAAAATTCAGTTAAAACCTTTTTTTTTTTTTTTGCATGACAGCATGGTGGGCCTATAATATGATGTATTCAATACGTTTACTGGATGTTCTTAAGAAAACCTTATTTAAAGACAAAATTTGAACCGTTTGTTAAAATGTATTCCTTATGTAAATGCATTTGAATCCAAAAAATGCATTTCTGCTACTAGGGGCAGTGGCACATTCATGACTTCACACTTATGGTCACCATAGTATTAAAATTTGATCACAAATATAAGAGTTTGATGTGTAGTTTATATATTCGCAATGAAAACAAGCATGGTGTGTTTGCTTGGTTTCTCATAGTCCAGTCCTACTAATAAAATGAATTTCAGCATAGCCTACTTGATTTATTTTTTTATTTATTCTACTTAATTAATGTGTTGATGAGTTAATAATTTTGCTATTTCATGCCATTATATTTATTTT